TGTTTTAGTTTGTTTTTTTGTTGTTTTTTTTGTGGTTTTCTAAATTTAATTACTTCCCGCAATTTAATTAATACGTTTTGACATAATCTAATCTTAATTTTGTCAGCTTTAATACTACAAACAAGCGAAGAGCCATTTTTTACCACAAAATGTATATCTTTACCACAAAATGTATATCTTTACCACAAAATGTATATCTTTACCACAAAATGTATATCTTTACCACAAAATGTATATCTTTACCACAAAATGTATACTTTTTTACAATAAATGTTTGTTTCATGTGGTAGGCTGTTACATTTTGTCAGTATATACTGTTTGTAACTTCCCCCATCTGTACTTTTATATTAAATTGTTGTTTAAAAATTAATATTGACTTTTTAATATTATATTATTACTTTATTATTGTAATAATTGTCGCTTAGTTTGTTGCTATAATTACTGTTATTAATTGTTAATATTAATATTTATTGTTAATATTAATAATTATTGCTATAATTATTGTTAATATTATTGTTAATATTATTGTCATTGCTAATGGTATTTAATGCATTATTTTAATTTTTGAATATTTTAAAAATTTTTTAAATTATTTTAATTTTTGAATATTTTAAATTTATATTTAATAAACCACTTTAATTCTTATTTGTTTTATTTTTATAATTAATTTAATAATTAATTGTGTTAATACACATAATTAATACACTTCTAAAAATATTACTTATAGTTATAAATATTACGGTTGTTATATTTGTTAAATCTTTTTTTTTTTCTATAACTGTGTTTACGTCATTGCAAGGGCAATGACATAAACACAGGCTGATTACATTATTACAATATTAAATATAACAATTTGAATTTAAGAAAATTTGAATTTATTTAATTCAGTTAATCTGTAACTTTAAATCTCATAGTAACAATCAAATCAAATCATAGTAACAATCAAATCAAATCATAGTAACAATCAAATCAAATCATAGTAACAATCAAATACACGTTAGAGTAAAAAAATAGTGTTCTATTTTTTTACTCCAATGTGTATTTTTACTTTTAAAAACATTTTATTTTGTTTTATTATTAATAATAAAAAAGCCTAAGGAATAATTTGAACCTGTAATTTTTTTAAGTTTTTAAGAAATTATAAAATATATTTTTAAAAAGCTTATTATTGAGCTACTAAATCACGATCAGATAAAAAAGTTTGAAATTGTTTTAGGTACCACTATTGGATATAGAATATCTAAAAGATCAAAAATCGAAAGTGGGAACAAGAGGAAGATTTCAAATTGGTACAGTTGATAAAATAACAGCTGCCAGAGAAAAAAGAAAGAAAGAGAGAGAAACTAATGAGCAAATAAAAAGATTTATTAAGTTGCCTGCTGTGGAAATTCAGTATGATTCCAATCTGGATGCTGAGTTATTTAACAACAATAATAAATTTGAATCTGACTAGACTTTTCTATAGATGTGCCAGTTGAAAAAAATTATACTCATTTAAATAACTTGAGGAAGGCTTAAATAACTTGACGAAGGTTTAAAATAAGTGATGCTGCATCTGCTGCATTAGCAACAGCTGTATTGATAGACTATGGAGTTGTAAAAAAATGTGATAAATCACAAATAATAACAGAAAAAAAAATTTTTGGAGAAAAAAAAAAGAATCAGCAGCATCATAAGTTCTAAACACTTTGCTGATGTTAAAGAATTAAAGATTATTGGAATAGATGGAAAAATTGACAAGTTTACATTAGTATATTCTGTCAAGTATAACACTGGTGAAGATCTTATTATTGTTGCTTTAACCAAACAAGAACATCATCTTACATTTACAGCAGAGTATTGGTCAACATCAAAAAACTATTTAACTCATGTAGTTATACCTAATGGAACTGGCGCTATCATGGCAAACGCTACTGCCAATGTTTTGACAGAATATAATAGTGTTCATTGCTTAGTAGCTGTTATTGTGGATAACACAAGTTCAAATACAGATGCAGAAAACGGTTGTTAAACTCAAAAAAATTCTTAAAAAAAAGTTTTTTTTAGGTTGAACTTCCACTGCCACATATTATATGTAAATTAGATGGAAAAACAAATGGCTCTATGTCTTACAGGGGTCTATTGGAGTTGCTGCATCTAATCAAACTCTTCATGAATAGCCAATGGTTGGATTTATTCCCATACAGTCAGTAATTACAGTCAGAAGTTACAAAAATACAGTCAGAGTTATTTTTTAACAGTGAAGTTATAAGCGATCTTAGTACAGACCAGCGAAAGCTAGAAGTACTGTGTTGGTATCTCAAAAGCTATATGAGTACTGTGTTGGTATCTCAAAAGCTATATGAGTACTGTGTTGGTATCTCAAAAGCTATATGAGTACTGTGTTGGTATCTCAAAAGCTATATGAGTACTGTGTTGGTATCTCAAAAGCTTTAAAATTTCTTGCAATAAACCTGAACCAGTTTGTCATGCCAGATGTCTAACTTTGGCTTTAAGAATAATGATGGTTTATGTTAGGAATGATAAACCATCTCCTGAGTTATTACTAACAACTAAATATATTGTAACTTAAAAAATAAGTGATTGTTTTGTGTTACTAACATTGTAATTAGAGATGTGGCAGGTACCCAGTGATTTATTTTGTTGATGTACCCAGCACTGCGTATCTTTAGAAATATTTTTGACAGACATAACCTTTAAGTGCTGTAACTAACAAATAATAAAAATATTGAAACAAATTTTGTATTAGTATTGCTTTAAATTATGTAGAAATTGAGAAATCATGGAAATTGGTTATATGTGTAGAAATATTATTAACCAGATAAAAAATAGTGCTTTAACCAATAAACTTCTTGATATATTTAGAAAGTAATAATTCCTATGTAATAAATCTAGACGTGTCTCACTTAAATTATTTTTCAAATATATTTTTGCTATATTATATTGCAAAAGATTGATAGCAGATAATATTGCAAAAAATATACTGATTTATACAGATAAAAAAACCATAAAGTAAAACAAAATTATATGAGAATACAAAAGAAATAAAAAGAAATAAAAAAACAAGTAATTGCTTCCTTTTATTGCTTAAAACGCAAGAAAAAAATACATTATTCGCAATTTTAGTTGCGAAAAATGAATGAAAATTTAATACTTTGTGTAGATCGTTTTTAAAAAAAGATTTTTTTTAAATGACATTTTTTAACTGAATTTTTTTCCCATGAAGTTTGGGAAGTCGGACAAAAAATTAATGGTTTTCGCAGGGCCAACAACATCGTTTTCAAAGTGGGGGGCACACTTCGGAAAAAAAGACTACTTTGATTTCTTATTAAGTTAATAATTTTCTTTAAAAAACAAAAGAAGGTCCACACAAAAAAAGAGTAGGGAGAAAGATGTGCCCCCTCAGAATTGAGAGAGGGCGAGCTTTCTCTTGTTTCTAAGGCAAGCAACCTACCACTGCACCACAGCTGCTAAAAACAAAAATATATTGCATAGTTTTAGAGGGTTTTAATTATTTTTTAGCCATTTTAAAAATCTAAATTCTGTTTAAATGAATTTTTTAATCAATTATTGTCTGAAAAATTATTTGATCGTCTACTTTTTGATTATTTCAAACACTGATAATGTTTTTCATTTGTCCCAAACAAAAAATAATAAAAGAAATTAAAATGAAATAAGTACAAAAGTGTTGTCTAAATTATTTTTTATTTGATTAAATTTTTTTTAATTTTATCTGGTCTCGGACCCGGTTTTTACCACCGGGTACCCAGAATCAGGGACTCGTCATTTACTGGTTCCGGCACACCTCTAATTGTAATACACAAATGCCAGGGTGACTCTTTATGATTTTTAAAAAACCATCTTGTAGGCACTGGCCTATTGTGGGTGCATTTGTTTTTCGACAATCACATTTGGGTTCTCAGAACTTTAAAAGTGGCAATTTTTTTGTATGAAATTTTTAAACTGCAGCCACCAAGCTTTCATATTATTTAATGTTGAAATATTATTCATGCTATTTATACATATTATTATTTATGTTATTTATTATATTATTATATTATATTACATATTATTCATGTTATTTATTATATTATTATATTATATTACATATTATTCATGTTATTTATTTATATTATTCATATTATTCAATGTTAAAATTTTATTCAATGATGAAGACATTTTGTTCTATTGTGTAATGCTCCATTTTTACTAACCCTGAACAGTCAGCTTTTGATTTTTTTTTTTTTTAGGGTTGTCAGTACTTTACTACATAAATAGCAGCAAATTTAAATCTTGCGTTAATTTTGGGACTTTAAAAACTAGTTCTTTTTATTGTGTTATTTAAGTTGAGTTATGTTACATAACATTATTGTGTTGAGTTATGTTACATAACATTATCACGCTAATTTTCATTGTGTTAAGTTGAGTTATGTTACATAACATTAGTTTTCACTGACGTTTAAGTTAAGTTATGTTACATAACCTTAGTTTTCACTGATGTTTAAGTTAAGTTATGTTACATAACATTATCACGCTAGTTTTTTATTGTGTTAAGTTGAGTTATGTTACATAACATTAGTTTTCACTAATGTTTAAGTTGAGTTATGTTACATAAAATTATTACGCTAATTTTTTATTGTGTTAAGTTGAGTTATGTTACATAACATTAGTTTTCACTAATATTTAAGTTGAGTTATGTTACATAAAATTATCACCCTAATTTTTTATTGTGTTAAGTTGATACATACATACATACATACATACATACATACATACATACATACATACATACATACATACATACATACATACATACATACATACATACATACATGCCATACATACATACTTCTAGTTCAATACATACATACATATAGTGATAAATTTTTCAAGAAAAAGTTATATTCATTGATAAAAAAAAAAATCTATTGCAGTTTTAATAAATTTTTTAAGTTGCAACAAAATATAAAAAAGTTCTCTAAAAAAAATCTTTTTATCAGATTCGCCTACAAAGCTATAAGAAATTCACAGATGGAAAAACGCGTTTGATGATCTCTACTGACATTGCTTCTCGTGGACTAGATTCTAATGATGTAAGTGATTTATTTATTAAAAAAAGTTTTTCACTTTTACACAATGATAATTAAATTAATTTATTGTTTTTAGATTACTTTAGTTGTAAATTTTGACTGCCCATTCAATGCTACTGATTATATTCATCGCTCTGGGAGAACGGGTCGAGCTGCATCATGTTTTTCTAAAAATGAGGAAGTTTTAACATTTGTTACTCAAAATAAAGAATTTCTTTTTGCAAAAAAAGTGCAGGTATTTCTTTTTTTTCTTTCTTTTTATTGTTAAGTCATAAAATGTAACACATGTTTTACACTTTAAAAATATTTTAATCATTGTAATACTGAATTTAATACTTTAATTTAATATTGCTGCCATTACTTATTTGTGGGTGTTTGACACGAAAGTCACAGCAGCAATTACATCCAAGTTAATGGTAAAAAAGATTCACAGCACTTTTTGTATCAGAAAATGTGAATAAAAGTGTATGCAAATATCTAATTTATGTAAACCTCAAATCGTCGCGTTGGTTTGACAAGGTTCTAACTGATCCGCGAGTAGTTTTGAGCAAATCAATGTTAAAAATTGTTATGTTCCTCCCATCAAAATTTATTAAAATTCATCGATAATATTTTTTACTCATGATAACATAAGCAATTGCTATAAGTATTACTATTTTTTATTAAAAAATGTTTCACTCTTTATAGAAAAATGAATACCCCCAAAACGCAGTTAGAACCTTATCATAGTAAAATAATCATATTCTCACTATGACAAGGTTCTAACTGCTGTTATAAGGGTAGTTAGAAACATGTTAGTTACTTTGAAACTTTGTGACTGAAGCTGTTAGTTACTTTAAATTTTGTAACTGAAACAATAATATAATAAAAAGCTAATTTTCATAAATTAGATTATTGTTTCAGTCACAAAACAAGGTTACATTTTTTTTACTCATTTTTTATTTTTTTTTAACTACATTTTTTTGGTACATTTTAAAACCATTACATTAAGTACAGAGTTAAAACCCTTAAAAGTTTTTCATGTTTATTTTATATGTGAAGAACAACTCGATAGTATTCTCTGTCCTGAGAGGCATAAACGGAAATGCAGCTTTAATATTTTTTTTTTTTAAGTCTGCAAGTTCTTTGTACAATTTTGAATCTTTGGTTTTACATTCAAAATAGTGGAAGTTGATGGACTTGTTGCTGCATTCTTTCTGTTAGGTTTTTCATTGAACTTGACATTTGCACAGTTCATAGGTTCATTGCGATCATGGCTAGATTTGAAATGTATAATATGAGATGTTTCATTAAATTTTAGAACAGCAACGTTAAGAAAAAGAACTGACTTGTAATTGAACAGCTTCGCTGTTACTGCATAATCCTTGAAGTCATGTGATTTCATTTGAATGATACGATAAGGATTTTTTCTGTTAGCTTGTTTCAACATCCTTATCAATCCAATTGGACTATAAAAATCAGTTTTCCTCATGAGCTTTTCGATTTCGCTATGAGCATGATCCACCTCTTGGACGCATGAATGACCTGGAACGGAATATTTCATAGTGATTGAGTTGATGTTAGGATTGTCTCTTAAAAAGTGTAACACAGCATTTGATAATATACTGTTCCGATTTTGAGAAATGCAGGAGTATCAAGATCAAGTAATTAAAGATCAAGTAATTAAATCACTTAAGTCGTTTACCTCTGCCACATCACTCAAAATTTTGCAAAAGGCACTGGCAAGACCATTGCCGCTTCTTCCCGCCATTGATTCAGTCCATAATGCACAATACACTTCTTTGGTTGTTGAAAAATAAGCTGTCAAATTATACACGCTAAGCTTTCTCAGATAAAAAAGGGAACTAATTTCTGCATGCGGAGTCAAAATAACATTTTGAAGGTCAAAAAGTAAAACAGAACAATTTTTATCCTTTTTCTCTTCAGAACGTATATCTCTCATTTCTTTTTTAAAAACTTGATGTCTTTCAAAGTCTTCTCTCAATTTTTCAGACATAGTATCAGTGTTTTCAGCAACTTTAAATTTCTCACAAAGGTCACATCCATCTTTTTTGGGAATGTGAAAACTAAGATTGAATTCGGTGGAGAAAATATGGTAGTACATAGATTTTTTTACTGGCTCAATATTTTCGTTTATACATTTCTCTTTGTAAAGATTATACATTTTTGAAACATTAAGGTGTGACTCAAGGTATTCTCTATTGGTACTTACACGACAATAATGTGACTCAACTGTTGGAAAAGATTTTATGTGATCCCTAGCTGAGTTGGCATCACTATGCAGTGTACGTTTGCCTTTCATGATTTTACCTCGTAGATCTTGTGCAGGAGTATTTGTTTTAATATCTTTGGTGTTGTGAGCTGTGTAAACTGGCTTTTGTGAAATGGACAGTGTAGTTAAGTAGAATGTTTTGCAAACACGGACTTTTTCACATTTTACATGAAAAAAATATCTATAGGCGTACTTCCTTTTTGAAAAAACTTGTTTTTCAGCGTGGTCATTAGTTTCTTTATTTGCAGTATCACTATCATTGTTTTCCTCGTGGTTTCTTTTTGGTCTAGCAGTGGTTGTGCGATCAGTCGAAGTAACAAAGAAATGCCTCTTTTCTGAATCTGAAATCTGAGTAGCTGAATTTAAGGCATAAAATGATGAAAAAATATTGATTCGCTCATCTTCTGATATTTTCTTAGCACATTCGTACTTGCCAGACAGTTTTTTTTGTTTGAATAATCTTATCTGGTACTTGTTTTCCTCTTCGACTTGTATAATTTTTACCAGCTTGATATGCCTTTTTTTTTTATTACATCCCCAGGTTTCAGGTTTAGATATTCGTTTTCGGAATTTTTTCTTAAACGTTTGTTGAACTTGATCCCTAGAAGAGTATTATTACTTAGTCGATAATAGTATCTCTAGTATATAATCATATACTAATTAAATCGTTCTTAAATGATTAAAATGGTTCACTTTGTATATAATAGTAGATTTTAATGTCGAAATCACTTTTTAGATGAAATTTTTATTTAAAAAACAAATCATAAATAAAAAAAATATATATTTAAGATTTAGAGGGTGATCGAGGGGGAACACTACATATTTGGCTTACTTGTTTGTCACTAATTCAGTATCATTCATAGGTTGTACATTCATGTCTATCTCATAACCTTTTTAAGTTTGTGCTACATAAACATTATTGGCATTGTTTCCAGAAGCTTCTTCAACAATATTTTGTTTAGAATCTTGTGCAGTTCTGGAACATTCTAGTGCAGTTCTGGAACATTCTACTGCAGTTCTGGTTAAATTAAAGCGCCTCTTCTTTCTGTTTAAATATCAAAAAGTAAAAATCTTTTTAAAAAACTTTTCAAAAGCTTAAAAATTTAGCTATTTTAATATGTAAATGCATGGCCAAAGTCACACAAAAAAGTTATATTAGGTTACTAACCGTGTACTTAATTCATAGCAGTCTTCGCCGCTTTCACTAGTTGGAGCTACAAATTCGTCACTATCATAACTGCTTTCTTTATCAATTACTACTATTTCCATTTTCTGTTGATATTTTACTTAAAACGAAAATAATAACTTTTCAAATTGTTTTTTTTTTACTTTCAAATCATTTTTAAAATCTTTTTTTAACTACACAGGCTGGTTTTTATTATTGATACAAAAATGTTTTATTACAAGTTGTTTAATTTTTAATATTACTGTTATATTTGATTTAACAATTTAAAATAAGTTACTTTGTATAATCAACGTTCTAAAGTGCACATATATCGACTAACCGTTGTAGATAAGTGAAGAAAAATGAACAAGTGTTGACTTACTTTTTGGGGTAGACACTGCAAAATATAGTTAGATCGACTTACTGTAAGGGAATGGCACGGCAAATTGTACTTGCATTGACTGTAAAAAGTTTGTAAATTTATTAATGCATAAACATCATTATTTTAAAAAAATATTTTAGCTCATAAATCCCCTTTTTATTTTGAATAATAATAGTTATTTCCATGCTAATCGAAACCAGAATTTTGTTTTTCAATGTTACAGGTGTCAATTTGAGTAAAGCTACAGAATGTTATAAAAAAGATTTTTTTTAAATATCAAATAATAGCTTTAATAATATTTTATTCTACATCGGTGTCAGAATTTTTTTATATAATTTTTTATCATAATAAATAGTTAATAAAAACCAGCAAGAGATTATGCAGTTATTGTTAGTTAGAACCTTGTCAAACTAAATATCATTTAACTAAAGTTGCAGATAGAACTTTGGCACATAAGCAGTTTGCTTGTTTTACGCTATATTTTGTTCTTCATGATTAAAATAGTCTAATAAAATGATAAAGTCGATTTTGGAAAAAATGTCAGTTAGAACCTTGTCAAACCAACGCGACGAAATCATGTAATATCAAATGATGTCAAAACTCAAGTTTTACAGTTTTACTTTAAATCTGATTTGCGGCAAATTCCTTTCCTTAGTTTTGGTTTATAGCATTTATTCATCGTTTCATAAAACTATTTGTTTATTAAATATTTTTAAAACTTTCATCGAACAATATGCCTTTATGGCCAAAGTGGTTAGGTTGCAGCATTATGAAGTGAATTGCTGTTGTTCAAACCCTTGCTTTTTCCCTTTGTGTGTGGTGGGGATTAAACTTTGAACCTCTTCCCTATGAAACAATCACTTTACCACTGCACAACTACCATGGTTATAAATTAAAACATTAAATTCAGTACAAGTTTATACAAATTAAAACATTAAATTCTATTGTTGATATATGAAAATAAAGTATATTATAACAAACAAAGGGCAAAGAGTTTTTAAAAAGCTTAAAATTGCTTTAAACATCAAAACAGCAGATAACATTAAGATAAATTTTTTGCGCTTATGCTGCAGTAGACTTACTTAAGGTAACGACGTTAAGACTACATTTTCAACACACATTAGAGAGAACTTTTTTTTCATTGAAAAAATGTTTTGACTTTCAAACTTTTGTTTTCTTCAAAATTAAAAAACAAGGCGAGGTTCTTAATAAGCTGCGGATGGTCTGGAAAAAAATTTAATAAAACCTAATAGAAACTTAATAAATCTTACAAAGATATGACAGATTTATTTTCTGCCACTAAATTGCGGTTCGCGCAACGACTACCAAAGCGTTTAAATTTGTTAAAGTTGTTATAAATTATTTTTTTATTCCTTTTCTTCCACTTACTAAAAAATATTGAAGTAAGGTATAAGT